TAGACTTGGTCGGGCGGCGACCGGGCGTTGGTCGGCTCAAGGGCCGCCCCGCGCGCGCGAACTAGAAATATTGTTAATACTGTTAACCAGTTACCGGGAATCTTAGCACGCCCTGGCCCGTTGGGCTGGCGAATTTTTCGCCCCTATCATTACCTCTTCCCCGTGGACGTGGAGGGTGGGTGCGCAAAGTAAGACATTGTCCAAAACGGTCTCGGTGAGAAAACCAACATCATTATTTTTACCAAGGTTTTGGCATTATTTTTGCATTCCGGGAGGGCAAAGGTAATTGATGCTCCGGTTTTTTTGTTGATAGATGCTCCAAAAATCGCCCACAAGGTCCGAAGAGGTCCGAAGATGGTACCAAAGTGGCACCAACAAAAAAGGCACCCAAGAGGTTCCCAAGATGCCCTTAAGAGATCCCCGAGAGGCCATGAGCCATGAGAGACCTAAGGTACCCAAGATGTTCCCAGAGACCTCGGTGATAATGCCAAAATAGCTTCGGGGAGGGTTTTTTTTTTTGTGTGTGTGTGTGTGTGTGTTAATTTTCTATTTTATCTTTTTACGCCATTTCTTTGCCTTGAAATTCTTTGTCATATTGATTCCATCCGGTGTTTTTCCATTTGCGTTGTGCACGTATTTAAAATGTTCAAACGTAACCTATGGTGCAAAATATTCGGCCGAATAGGTTGATTTTGTTGATTTCGTCAGGCACGTGCGTTTCACAAATTTCTTTCGCTGGTCTTTTTGGGAGGGTTTCCATTCTATGTATCTAGTTTTTTTTTCTTTTCTCTCTCTCTCTCTCTCTCTCTCTCTCTCTCTTCTTCTCTTTTGTTAATTTGCTTTCTTTGGTCATTTATCCGGTGAGCTTGAAGAACCTTCCTTCCGGGGGGGAAATTACCACAGAACCTCAACTAAAGAAAGAAACAATACGCCCAAACAAACTACCAACGTCGCAGGGCCGGGCCCTCCGCGGTACGCCCCCGCGAGGCAATGCGACGCGGGCCGGGCAACCTCGGCCTGCCCCGTAAGTACAGGAGCAAGTCGCCGCAGCCAAACACACACACACACACACACACACACACACACACACACACACACACACACACACACACTCCCCCTCCCCCTTCCCCCTCTCCTTCTCCTCCTCCTCCTCCTCCTCCTCCTCCTCCTCCCAATACACGACACATTTAGCGCTCCGCGCCAGTTTCTTGGGCGACCGGCTCTTGGGGGTGCACCGGGGCGGCAGCGCAAAGGGCAGAGGGGCGGAGGCCGACGTCGGGCACGTCCCGCTACAAGAAGAGTATCCAAGGAGAGTCATGATTTTTTCCAAATATTATTATTATTATTATTATTATTATTATCATTATTATCATCATCATTATTATTATTATTACTATTTTTATTATTAAGTATTTTTTTTAAAAAAAATTATTATTATTATTATTACTATTGTTCTTCTTCTTCTTATTATTGTTATTATTATTATCAACATTTTTATTATATATATATATAATATATATATAATATATATATATATATATATATATGTATACACTTTTTGGATATTTTATTCGCCCAACATCCGCCTGTATCTAAGCCTCCTACATGGGGTCGGAGTAGATGGGCTCGGAGGATCGCGCCGCATCGCCGATGCATCGCCGATGCGGCACGATATGGAGCCCGATTTGCTTCACTTCGACGTCGCCGGTGCATCGACGACGTCGACGATGCATCGCCGGTGCATCGCCGATGCATCGGCGATGCGGCGCGATCCTCCGACCCCATCTACTCTCACCGCCCACCAAACCACCCCAATCCAGCCCGAAAGCCTCAATCTGCCGTCCATTTCCAGTTGGGGGGGGGGGTCGGGGAACATGGACAAGAGCACATTCTGAAACCCGTACTTCCCCCTGCCACCCGAAATTCAGGTCTTCGGGTTGGGTTAGGGTGGTCTGGTGTGTTCCGACCCCAGCTAGGAGGACGCCTGGCCCGAGAAAAGGCCCGGCAGCGCCCTCGGCCCTCGGCCCTCGAGGCCTCAGCCCTCGATCATCCTCGGGACCTCCGAGGCCCTCGACCCCCTCGAGGCCTCAGGAAGCCTGAGGTGTAGGGGGGACCTGCCCGACCCGAGCAGAGACGTCCGGAGCGCCGTGCGGACTTCCCGGGTCGGCGCTGGACGCCGCCCTTCAGGAGAGGGAAAAGCACACAGACAGAAGATCTGCAAACAAATGGGAAGTGGGGGGGAAGACGCGGAACCCCAAACGATAGGACAATATTGGGCATATTTTCATTTGTGTGCATTTATTTGTGTGTCCTGGGGCCCCTTCATCCCTGGCGTTCCCTTTGGCGCCGCACCCTGCGCCGCACCCTGCGGGCCAGGTGTGGGGGAGGGGGGGGGCCGGCCTCTCCTCCTTATTTCTCTTAGGCTGGCTCCTGGGCGCGCACACCCGAAACGTCAGCCTCTCCTCCGTCCTCCTCCTTCCTCCTCCTTCCTCCTCCTCCTCCTCCTTCCTCCTCCCTCCTCCTTCCTCCTCCTTCCTCCTCCTCCTCCTCCTGTTACTGTTCTAGGTGCAGGGCCAGCTGTCGTCGGCGCAGTGCTCGGGGTTCTTCCACTGGGGCGACTACGTGTGGTGCAACCGGGCCGTGGAGCCCCCGGGCGGCGCGGACGTCGTGGGGATCTCCTTCGGCATCCGTGAACGGGACACCTGGGCCGAGCTCATGAGCAACCGCTATCTCGTGGCCTTCGGCGGCCCAGCCCGCTGCCGCATCTGCACGGCCTCCACGCCGTGCCCCTCGTGGGCGCTAGTGTGCCATTCTCTCGCTCGTGCGCCGGTGGAGCGCGCACGCGTACGGCGCTCGCTCGCTCGCTCGCTCGCTTAGCACTGTGGTCGTGGGCCGCGTTTCCCCGAGGCCTCCGCAGAAGGTGTTCGGGCCGCGAGGTGCCTCGAGCATCGCCCCAACAGCGCTCAGGAGTTCTGTGTGCTGGGGGTGGGGGCCCTGGATTCAGGTCGGGCCTGTCCCTACATGGAGATTTTTGGACGAAAAAATAAAATATAGATTCAACACATGTTCAAAACATATCCAAAATACGAAACACATCGTCCTCAGACTATTTTTAACTATTTTTGAATCTCCCTCCTGTAGGGGAACATGCCCGACTTAACCCTGGACCCGGGAGCGAGTCGAGCGCTACAGCAGCCCTAAAAACGGGACCTGCACGGGCACTCCACCCGGTGCCTACGGCGCGGTGGCGGACGGCGTGGCCACGCACTTGTACGACTGCTTCTACGGCAGGACTCGAGTGAGCGAGCGACCACCAACACTGATTCACCCCAATGCGGGTTCTCCCGTCGAATGTACAACACACATGCGGAGAAGCTCCGTACATCCACAAAACATAGAGTTCGCATTCTTTCGCAGGCCCGACGAGCAGTTCAATCCTGGGGCAGGTCATTTCTGCAGTCGATCCCCCCGCTCCGAAGGGCGTCGAGCTGGGCCATGAACGACACGACGAAGGGCGTCATGGGCTGGGGGAAGCAGGGCGGCGAGCTCACGCCCCAGGCCGTGGCTGGGACGCCCCGCTGCCCGCCGAGGTACCGCCACGACGGCTGCTTCGAGTCGGCCTACCAGATACACCGAGTCTGCATCTCGGCGGCGAGCGAGGGGGGAAGTGAGAAGGAGGAGGTCTTCTCATTATCGCAGGCCTAGAGGTCGACACCCGCACCAGCATCGGCGGTGTGCCTCCACCGAGGGAAGAATATCCCGATCTCGGCGTTGGTGGTAATATTGTGGCTTCCGAGGTGGCCGGAATATTACCACCAACACCGAAATCTAGGATCATCTCCCCCTTGTGGAGCCCCCCCCTGAGTTTGTGTTGGTGCCTATCTTTCAGGCCTCTACCCACCATTAGGCGGCGGGACTTCTCAGAAGCCCTCGCACCTTCCGAGAAGTTTTTGTTCGGTGCCCTCGGGGAAGACTCCGAAGACTTCTCAAAAGGCAGGGGGACCTCCGAGCCATCTGAGAAGGCCCGCCCCTTCTCCCCCCCCCGCGCTCTCCGCCAAGCATCGGCACCTCGAACAAGAATGCCGACAGGCTCGCCGTCACCCTGGCCAGCGTCCTGGCCGGGCTGCCGCCGCTGTCCGTCCACCTGAAGATCGACGCGGAGGGCGGCGAGTGGGCCCAGCTGGAGGCGCTCCTCCAGAGCCCGGAGGACCTCGGCCGCATCCGAACGCTGGACATCGACGGAGAAAAGACGCTAGAAACATACAACTTTCGGAGCTCCGCGCGGATTTCGGCGCCTGCCCCCCCCCCCCCCCCCGCGGCGCCTCCGGCGCCGCCCCTGGCGCGCTCCGCGCGCCAGGGAGGGGGGGGGGGAGCCAGCGCAGATCCAAGAAAAACCCGCGCGGAGCGCCAAAAGTTTGGGCGAACGCCCTTTTTTCTTTTTCTTCCAGGACATGGAGATTCACTTCTACATGGACGAGTGGTCTGCCGCCGCCCAGTGCCAGCACGCCGAGGAGCTGAGTAGGAAGGTCGGCGTCGTCGAGGAGCTGGCGCGCGTCTTCGCGGTCGCGGGCACCACGCTGCAGGCCACGCTCGAGAAGCAGGCGAGGGCCGCGGCCGGCCCTCTCCTTCCTCCTGCTCCTACCTTTTCTCTTCCTCCTCTTTTCCTTTTTCCAAATTCCCCATCCATCCATCCACCTTCCCCTTCTCCTGCACAATTCGGCCGAATTCTTCTTGCTACCGCATCACCTCAACTAACCTGGACACCGTTTCTGGATAAATTGGTCGGGATACGCGAAGCGTACAAAATGCAACAATCCAAACACATTAAATTAAGAAGGCAACCGTAATTATTACAAATCTAATGATTTGTAACATCATAAAAATCTTGACATCTAGCATCGTATGATTTACCACCTGCTGACCCGCTTGGTCAGGTATGAGCAACTTCCGCATAAAACAACATATTACGGAAACGACGTTTCGTACATCGGGAGAATACTTGGTTAGTACTTCGGTAAATCTAGGCTTTTTATCATATTATGCCGGCGTAATCTCTGAAACCGTAATTCTTGTGCGACCCCGTGTGAAACATTTGGAACTGATGTAGCGAGACTTAAAACAAATCTCCCGAAACCGTTGTCGAATTGGCGCGGAAATTTCAAGGGTTGCCAGAATAATGTTTTTTGACGCGGTTGCGGGCCAAAATAATAAGAGGGAATCATATTTGGATCCGGAACACATCTTGCGGCAATTCCATCCTATATACCTTTACCAAAACAAACTCATTCAAACTATGATTAACCCCCCCTCAAAAAAAACAACAACAAATCTATAGCAACATCGACAATTCCCTGCAAATGCGTGCCGCTTGTTTTTTTGCGCCCGCTCCGGCGGAGAAGAAACACCAACCAAATCCACCCTTCTGTATAAACCAAAAATCGCGGACCCCCAAACCCACCCGTCTTTTCAAAATCGCCCAACGTCGGGCGCCGTGCCCAATCACTGCTTTCCCTGACATAAGTGCACTAATGTTGCGCAAAACAACGCGCTTCGCTGTCGTTCTACCTCCCCGCGCCATTGACCCGTCGCCCGCGCTAAATTGCGGCACGAGATTGAAAACCGTTCCATCCAAGCGGCTTCCGTATGCTCAATAATTAAATACATGCGCTGTCACATTCGAGAATTGTGCCCCGATTTTTACATAGACTGACTTGTGGTAGAAGGATTCAGAACTGGTCGAAGTGGCTACACCAACTGGCCTGATGGCTACTCCGCGGCCTGATGGTATCCCTTCGCTAGGCCCGAACAACCTGATCATGGAATTTTCCGCAATGTGGGCGTGATGCAAATGGCTGTGGTTGCGAGCTCCCAGGGGGCTCCGGAGAGGCCAGAATCCATGCCTTCATGGGTACGTACTGCCACGCATCATGTGACAGGTATCGTTGTTTACGTTCTCATCATAAGCCTCCAGCTTCGTTCCTCCAACCACTTCCATTTCCTCATCCTCCTCGTCCAGCGCCGGGTCAACTGTCAGCCGCCGAAGTTTACCTTGCTGGAAATAACTCCCTGATCTCGAGGTAAGGCTGTCGGCTTCTGGTCAAGATTGCCTTCGGTCGATCTTGTTCGTGCTGCGCTACATGGTGGCGGAAATTGCAGCAATCATCTGGATATCATATTGGAAAAATAAGCGGGTATGCATTCATCTTTTTTTGCCAACCTTGGAATGTCGCTGAAGTGGTTCGATTAGCGCGACGGCTAGCTGCCGGCGACATCCTCTCTGCGGGGCCGTGGGCTGCAACAACAAGTCTTAACTACCTCAATTACACACCATTTTCATGTTACTCGCAAAGCCAGAATTCTTTCAAATCATTGTGTTCGACTACAAAGTGTGGTTATTGTCTGCTTCTCTCCTCCTCTGCCTGAGCAGAACATGTGTTGGGTAGGCTATCCATTGGCCGTCGAGGCAAACCGAGCTAACATGCGCCAGTCGAATGCGCTCTTGATGGAAACTGCGCATCTCCCAACCAAATCTCTTCTCCATAGGTAAAGAAGCAGGGAGACAGGGACGAAGGAGAAGTGAGGAACCGGAGGATGGATGACAGATGTGAGGGACGAGGAGTCGAGAGACGCAGAATAGTGATCACGAGAAGGGGAAGGAGGAAGAAGGGTGAGGAAGATGAAGAAGGAGCCTGGACAATTTCTGAATTCGCGCGCAGCCACGGCAGAACAATCGTCCTGGATGAACGCGTCGAAACTGTCCTGGCATGCCCGGCATGACTTCCATGCTTCCCCTGTTCACAAATCTGCGCAAGTCGCACTCTGTTTCGACCACACATTAACGTTAAAGTGAACGATGCAACGTTAGCTATTGCATCGGTAGGAAGCAGAAGTGGGCACAAGCTCTGAGGGACTGCAAATGCGGCCATTTCCAAGTGTAACTGATGCTATATGACCCAGAAGCCCTGTAACCCATTCAAATCAGGACGTCATCACGTTTGTGGCGACAACTGACCAAAGCAAGCCACATCAAACTCGTATAGGGGAAGGCAGTCCTCCTGGTTACACGCCACCCACTTGCGTATGTGTATGCAGATAGCTGTACACACATATCGATAGACACACATGTGTACACATGCTACGTGCGAACGCTGCCATATGATAAGCATGTTGGATTAGGATGGCTTAGGTGATGTCTATGTAAACCGTGCTGCGTGCTGGTATCAAGCCTGTGACAAAGTAGGATTGCGGCATACACTCCTTACAACGTCTCGCCAAGAAGGTTGTTGTTATTCGCGCGCTTCAATGCCGCCTGTAACTGCTGCGCTGTCAAATCTGCAAAACCGACCTATGTCACATCAGCCTGAAGCCAGGCATAAGAAGAACAACTTACGCGAGACCATTCAGCACGGGTGGTACCACACATGTTACTGAATACTTTGCAACGGCGCATCTGCTGAATCACGTTGCGTTGCGACAAAAATGCCCCCGACGCATGGTACGGAACAGATAATCTCACCAATCCATACCTTGCAAATACTTCGGTGGGTTGGGCGTATGGTACTGTGCACTACGCGCGTGCCCTACAGTGGGTCCCAAATGCAAAACAGAAGCTTCCTTGTAAGGGTCGCTTCAACTGATGTACTGGTCCGCTGGAAGCGTCGGGGTACGTGCCCAACGGGGTTCATGTACTACAAACGGCCATCCATAAAAAGGGCAAGCAGATACAGATACCGCTACTCCACGAATCTCTTCTGGGGTGCGTTCTGACCAGAAAGAATCCCGAGGTGATTCCAGCTTTGGTGGCGAGGGCCCTCTAAAAGGCCCCAGTCGGTGAAACCGAGTACCGGTATCGGTACGTTCTCCTTCCCAGAATAAGTAATACGCGAGACGGGTGCGTTGTTTTTGTGCAGCGGGCAAGTCCTCTTCTGCGTGGGATGGTCGCTTGTGCTTGTCGCGCAGGCACTAGTGAGCTTGTGTGCGATAGATACCGAACTGCTCGCGCAAGACATGGCCATCTAATGCTTCCCATGTTGCCAGGCTTCCTCTCTAATCCTCCCAATCCTCCCTCCTCCCAACACCGTCTCCTCCCTCACCATCTTCCCATCATCATTCCTCCTCACCCTTTCGACCCGCCTTCGCCTTCTCTCCTCCGCCCTGTGATTCTCTACCCCGTCCTCCCTGCGCCTTCCTGTTCGTCCGCGCCAATCCCTAGATAAACAACGAACGTACGCATAAAACTGTATGAGGACCGCACAACTTTTTTTTTTGATCGGCGCTGGGCGGCGCCTGAGGCGTCGCTAAAGGGGGATCTGGCACAGATCCGGGAGATCAGCGCGGACCTCCGAGCGTATATGCTTGTGCAGATTTCTCCTCTTCGAATCCCTGGCCTCCTCCCCCTCTATTTGCCTGAGTGCCTCATCGGCGGGGTGGGCTATCAGGCCCCTGTCAGCGATTTGGGGGTCGATGTTTCCCCTTTTCTATGCCTTTTCCCCCCCGAACGTTGCCCCTGACTGTTCCCTGCCCTCGCCGAGGGCTCCTTGCCGCGGCGCCCTCGCCACCAAGGCCTACCGCGGGGTCGTGGCCGCGGACGCGAACAACGCCCGCTGCGGTCGCGGCGCGGCAAGAAACGGAAGAGGCGGCAGGACAGTGACGACCCCGACAGCCCGCACGGTCGCCGCCAGATGCAGCCGTCGTCCCCTGTCTCCAACGATGTGTTTTGCTTTAATCCTAGCGCTGTTCCTCGATGCCGGCTTCCACTCGCCATCGCTTGGACGTCCATGAGGCCGGGAAACGCGGTATCGGGAGCGTAAGGCAGATGTCACAGGGAGGTGTGGGACACCCAGGGGGGGGCGTATTTGATTATATTTTATATATGTGAGAGGGAAAGAAGAATAAAGAGAAAGAGACAACAAATCTACGGACGGCCAATCGCTCACCGCCCTAGACCTGGCGCCCCTCCAAAAACAAAAAGGAAAAGACAAACAATGTCGGAGCAACCCCCAAACTTGAGACGGTCCCGCCTGAGTGGTGAAACTCACTTTTTGGAGGTGAGGTGCGTGCATAGTTGGTGATAGGGATCGCGCCCCTGGGCAGAGCAATGACTGAAGTACGAGAACCTGTGTAAGCATGACCTTTTAGAGGTCCACGTTGATTTCTTAGATCGGCTCTGGAGTGCCCAGCGCCGATCCAGGGAATCCGAGCGGACCTCCGATAGTTTGCATGTTTCATATTCGTCTTCTTCTCCTTCTTCTTCTTCTTCTTCTTCAATGTCAGCCAGCGTGTGCCCCAAGCAGTGCAATATTTATTGCAGTGGAGGTGACAGCTATGCAGTGTAAGATGTGTTGTGCAATCTTTCTGGTGTGGTCCTATGGAATGCGTGAGCTCTGCGGTGTAAGCCATGCCGTGCAAGCCGTGTCGTGTAAACCGTGCGGTCAGAGCTGCAGAGGTGACAGCGACCTGGCCTGCGTGGGCTATGCGGTGCAGCCCGTGTCGAGCAGGCTGTGCGGTGTAGGCCGTGCAGCGCAAGCCATACGATGTGAGCCGTGGTGAACGCTCTGTGGTGCAGGCTCGGCGCCCGCGGCGCCCGCGAGCGCTCGCGAGGTGGTACGGGCGGCAGCGTGGCACAACGTCGGCGCCCCCTCCCCCCCCCAAGCGCAAGGGGCGCCCACGAGCGCACGCCAGGCAGCAGCGTGGCGACACCCTGGAAGGCCCAACCAGTTGCTCAGGCAGGACACGAACCCTGCAGTGCAAACTCTATGTGGGGGATTCGCGCTGACAACCTCGGTTTACGCGAGGCGCGCTTAGATATTTTGCATCCTCAACTCTGGAGCGCATGCCGTCACGGCTGCAGGGGCCGCTCGGGAGTTCAGCACTATGCGCCGTCAGCTCACACCCCCAGTGCAGGCGAGCTGCAGCCTCGCTTGGCATGCCATGTTCGCCTCGAGGCCTCTGTATGCTAAGAAGCGACAGAAACTTAGACTGTCGGAGGTACGCGCTGGTTTCTTGCGTCGGCGCTCGGGCCTCCTCTCCACCAGCGCGCAAGTGTTTCAAGGGGACCAGCGCAGACCCAAGAAATCTGCGCGGACCTCCGAACATTTACACGCTGGTCGGAAGAAGTGGGAAACATGAAGTAGGAAGGCGTTGGAAGTAGATTGGGCTTCCGCCCGTCCCCTAAAGAGGAAGCAATAAGGCAAGCAATTCGATCCGTGAATACTTCCAACGACTGGCGTGTAAGATCACCTGTCCGCACAAATGCACAATCTGCCTGCCCGCGGCCCGTTCCGGCCCGAACGGTGCGATTTTTGTCGTGCATTGCTGCGACCAAGAAGCCCCCCGACTCTCAACACGACGACGGCGGAGAACGCGACGGCGAACGACGACTAGGCGATGACGACGGCGGCGAACGTGACGACGACGGCGACTAGGCGACGACGACAAGTGCGACGACGACGACGTCGGCGGCGAACGCGACAACGACGAGTGCGGCGATAGCGACGACCAGTGCGACGACGGCGGCGGCGCCGAGCTGAGACGGCGGGCGGCAGCCCCGGCGCGGGCGCGCCGGCAGCGGGGAGCCCAGCTCGAACGGCTGCCGCGGCTCGACGTCGCGCTCCTCGGGGTGGCGGAGGGCGCCGTCGGCGTCGGCGTCGGCGTCGTCGCCGTCAGCGCAGGCGTCGCCTCGCCCGTCCATTCCCTGTGCTTTTTTCGGCTTCGTGCGTGTTTTTTCCGGCAAGTGGTCAAGGATGCTCCTCGATGGTCCTCGCCGAGGAAAAAACGCACACGTCCGAGCGATGCCAGGTCGCCGTCTCTGGCGCCGTCGTCCCCTTGAGCTGTGGGGAGCGGAGAGTCAAGCAGTGGCGAAACGTCCTAGCTTTCCTTAGGCCGACCAAAGAATGTTCAAAGAACTTTTTGGGGTTCCCACGAAATGTTATTGAATATATGTCTGGCTGAGATTGTCTTGTTTTCATACACTGGCTCTATGTTCTACGATCATGGTTTTTGTTTTTCGAACAGTGTTTGGTCTAAGAACATCTCCTGCCGCTGCACCTCCCCTCTCTCCTCCTTCCTGGGGCGGAGCGAGGATGATGAGGAGGAGGCGAGCGGGATGAGGAGGGCCGTCTCTATGTCTCCCACCCCCTCCCCCTCCCCCCTTTCCTCCTGCACCACCTCCCTCCGCCTCTTCCACCTGCCCCCGCGCCTACCTCCTCCACATCCTCTTGCACATCCTCCTCCCGCCCTCCCCCTCGCACTTCCCTGCCCGTCCCAGTCCTGGGCCCTTCCCTAGCTCCAACGACTCCCACTAATTTGTGCTCTCTCTCTCTCTCTTTGTCTCTCTCTCTCTCTCTCTCCCCCTCTCTCTTTCTCTCCCTCCCTCTCAGTTTAAAGATATCTCTCTCTCTATCTTTCTATGTTTCTTTGTGCCTCTCTCTCTCTCTCTCTTTCTCTTTCTCTTTCTCTTTCTCTCTCTCTATTTATATATATTTATATTTATATATGCATGCGCATAGATGTATGTACCTATTCTCTACCTGTGCATACGCAGACGTTTACACATACAAAATACATGGAAATGGGTGTGTCTATCTATACATCTGTCCCGTCTGATGTATCTATTATGTATGAATGTTCCGCCTACCGTTTTTTGGTGTTATTATGTTTCCTTAGTCTTCTTCTTGTTCTCATTCTTCTTCTTCTTCTTCTTCTTCTCTCTGTATAAATACAAGTATGTATGATAGTTCCTCTTCTGTGCTTGTTGCCTTTGCTTGATTTGCTTGTTGCCTTTGATATCAATCGTTTTGTTTTCTCTCTTCTTTATTTGCTCTCTCTCTCTCTCCCTCTCTCTCTCTCCCCCTCCCTCTCTCTCTCGCCCTGCGCCCAGGCGCCGCCCGATCTCCCCGGCGGAACTCCTGCCTCCTCTCCGGCCTCTGCCGCCGCCTGCCTCTCCGACCTCCCCGCCTGGCATCGTCTGGCCCCCCCTCTCGGCCTCTGCAGCAACCGCAGGCCATCCACCGCAGGTCGAGAGCGGGCTGATGATGATGATGATGATGAGGAGGAGGAGGAGGAGGAGGAGGAGGAGGAGAGAACGCTGAGGAGGAGGAGGAGGAGGAGGAGGAGGAGGAGGAGGAGGAGGAGGAGGAGAACGATGATGATGATGATGATGATGATGATGATGATGATGATGATGATGCTGATGATGATGATGATGATGATGATGATGATGATGTCGAGAGCGGGCCTCTTCCGCAGGCCTTCAACATGCAGGGTCAGGATCTGGATCGCCCAACTTCGGGCGTCGCGACCCGCGGTGCACGGTCATCTTCGCGCGCTCGCGCTCTCGCGCTCTCGCGCTCTCGCGCCGACCCTCGGAGAAGGGCAACCACTCTTGGCCAGGCCGCGACGCGCGATTATCTTCGTGCCCCCCTCCCCGCTCCTCCCGTGCGCTCTTTCCCTCCTCTTCCTCCTCCTCCTCCGTTCCCCTGCTGCTCTGCCTCCTGCTGCTGCTCTGCCTGGAGCACATCTCTGCCCGTTCAGCGCCGTTCTTGCAGACGCCTTCTCCGGCCACCAGCAGAGTATGAGTCTGAAGCGGGCGGCTGTGGCGGAGCCGGAGCAGGTGGTGGATGAGGCCAAGAGGCAGAAGGTTATCGAAGCAGAGCCCCTACGGGCGACCCTCCTGAGACGGACGTGCCAGGGGGTGGGTCGGGCGTGCCTTTTCTGCCCCCGCTGTCGGGGCGGGCACAAGCAATCTCCTCCAGCTTGTGCGCTTCTCTCTTTGCCCCTCCCTACTGCGCTGAGTATGCTCCAGGGTCTTCCCCCTCCCGCCCGCTTCTTGCTCCCGGCGGTGGGAGTCGAGGTAGCGAGCCACTCTGGCCTCCCACCCGCTGGCCTCATATGACGCCTACGTAGATGCGTGACGCGCGCCCGCGCAAAACTGCACGCGCTTGCCCGAATTGCACGTCAAGGCTCCAGCGTTCATTAATCCTGCATAATACCGCAGGGCCCATCCGGAGAGGCGCCTGGGCGAGCTTGAGGAGAAAACTGGAGGGACGCCCCCAGTGGTCTCGCAAGGAAGCGTGGGCTGGGTGGGCAGGGCCTGGCGACGCGTGCGTCCTCCAGCCCCTCTCCCCCTCCCTGGGGACCAGACCTTGCGAATACTGAGGTCTTCAAGGGTGCGCTCTCTTGGTGGTGGTCTTTTTGCGGGGGCGGGGGGCCCAAGGGAACGGCCCCGCGAGGGCGTGTTTTCTCGGCAAGGGAGGCTGCGGCGGGGCCCAGGAGGGGGCTCAGTGCTCCGCGGGGGTGCCCTCCGCCCTTCCCTCTCAATCTCCTGTTCCCCTCCCTGAAGGCCTTCTCCTCCTCCCCCCCCCTCCCCTGGGCGCCCCTTCCCTTCCCTGCGGTGTCGTCGTCGTCGGTGTCGCTGGCGGCTTCGAAGGCTGGGCCGACGCCCGATGCGCCCGTCCGGAGGCCGTGCCCTCTTACTGCGGCCCTCGTGAAGGGCATGCCCGAAAGACGTCTTCTCCTCCAACTCCTCCTCCTCCTCCTCCTCCTCCTCCTCCTTGTTCTTCTTCTTCTTCTTGTTATCCGCCGGCCCCCTTGTGGGGCCACCAGGCTGTAGGCCGG